TTTCCTTCCTCTGCTCAGCGAGAAAAACTTCCTCTTAGGAATATTTTTTACAGTCAGCTTTGTGACTGCAGAGTGTCCTTATGGTCACTGTAGGATGTGGGCATCTTCCCATTGCTGCCAGCAGAAAGCAGCTCTGGGGGTGAGGGTGTTTTGTTAGAGCAGTTGCCCTTGAGGCAGAATATTAAACTGCTCTGCCATCTGTTTTACAGGGATTATTCTGGTGAATGCTAAGGATCCCTTGAAAGCATTTTTATAGTAGCCCTGTGCTGCTTCTTATCCTTAGCATTCATGTAACTTCTCCCTTCAGCTGTTGACTTGGAGACTTTTCCCTTTCCAAGCATGCACAGGCAAAGAGAAGGATCCGTATGTCAGCTCTGAGCCTTGGCAGTCTCCCCAGTGCATACATATGTGCACCCACACCTCCCTTCAGGCTCTGGCCTGGCTCCCACACGACAACAACCTTACTCTCGTTACCTTCCCAGAAACTCCACCATGCCCCAAGGTTCGATATATTTCATGACAAACCACCTTTTCATAACTGCCCTGCTCGGTAGTTTGCCATAAAGTTTGTTCGCTGCCAGAGCTCAGCTCTCTAACAAGCCCCAGACCCTCTTCATTTAATGCCAGGTACAAGAAACTCACCCTTCCCTGCTTTCCCTCCAAGCTCTACTGCCCTTCAGCCCACAATTTATCACCTGAGCATGCCAGGCACCTCCCTATATACTCTTTTTGGGCCGAATATTGGTGTTAAGCTGCTCTTCTTAAAAGTCTTTTCCTAGAGTAGATACCATTTCTATTACGAGTATATACAAGACTATAGGTTACTATTTTAAATTGCAGAGCTCAAATGACTGAATTCCTGGCTGAGTGTGCAACATCTGAGCTGACTAAAGAGCTTAGGAGTTCAGGAAAACTGCAAGGTGAATAGTGTGTATGAAAGAGTTGCTGTTAAATTAAAGCGTGCAAGATACAGGACTAAGTGAAGGATGCTTGTTAGTGTCAGGGTAACTGATGGGATAGACTGGTGAAGACATAAGTTTAAGGTAAATATGAAGCAGAATCTAGAGGAGAAGCTACAGTGCAAAAGTTACTCAGAGGGGAAGAAAAGGCAAGGTAATGTATTGAGAAAGAAGTACTGTGCTATGGAGAATTACACGTGAGGAAAGAAACTGTATTCCCAGGTACTTCAGGTCTTTGTATCTGTCTGTCAGTTTAATGGGTTACTTTGGGGACACCCATAATGTCTCTCTCCTTCCTCCCCTGCAGACTCTGCCTTACAGAACCTTACATTTATCGTGTGTTTGAACCTCAGTTGCGTGTCTCAGAAAGGTAACTGGTGGTTTAAAAGGGTCCGAGTTTGTATTAGAATCATAGAATCATTGAAAAAGACCTGTAATATCATCAAGTCCAACCATGAACCCAGCTCTTCCAAGCCCACCACTAAACCATGTCACTGAGGGCCTCATTTGCACATCTTTTCAGTGCTGACAGGGATGGTGACTCCGCCGTTTTCCTGCACAGCCTGTTCCACTGTTCCAGTGTTTGACACCACTTTTGGTGAAGAAATCTTTCGTAATCATGGAATAGTTTGGGTTGGAAAGGACCTTAAGATCATCCAGTTCCAACTCCCCTGCCATGGGCAGGGATGCCTCGCACTAGACCATGTCGCCCAAGGCTCTGTCCAGCCTGGCCTTGAACACTGCCAGGGATGGAGCATTTGCTGTCTAAACCTCCCCTGGCACAACTTCAGTCCATTTCTTCTTGTCCTATAGCTTGTTACTTGGGAGAAGAGACTGACACCCACCTCGCTACAACAGACTTGACGTGATGTGTATATTTGTCTCAAGCTCTCATGCATCACTGTGAAGGGTAATTATAGCAATCCAAGCCTACAATCTATATGAGAAGTCATGATTTCGTATCTAAATGCTAAATGGGGCTGCTAATATGAGTGAGTGCAGCTCAGCTTGAGTGAAAAGGTGTTAAAGAATCAGGTCTAGAGTGAATCAGCCTGTGTGTGTGTGGCAATGAAAGGAAACAAGGAGTGTGAAGCATTAAAGCATTCAAGAGACCAAAGTTACAGGCTACCTCTGGGCACTGCCCCTTCTCCTAGGGTGATCCCAGAAAATATCCATCCTTCAAGCTGAATGGGAAACCAGCGAGTACTATTTGCCACAACCTTTTTTCCTGAATTACACATTCTTCCCAATACAGGTGGCTGTCACTGGTCTATGAGAATCACCAGCTCATGCCTTTGTTTCCTATGATGCCCAAGATGTAAGTGATCTCATATGGTAAATAACAACCTTTGAGCACTGGGGAAAGAGGATAGGTGCTTCAGTGGGTCTTTTCTAAGTTTGTGATCTTCTTTGGTCCTGTTGTAGTGAGAGGCAAAGATCCCAGCTTCCAGCCTTGGCAGCTTTTTAATAGGAAATGAAATGATTCCCAGTGCTTGGTCTTCAAGAACATACTTTTGCCTTTTGGAAAAATAGGTGTAAGGGTAGGGGCAGGGTCTGTGGAGACCTGGAATCTGACCAGTTCTGTTACTGATCATTGGTCTTATTATTACTTCATTTCCTAAGATGAGTTTTCAATCCACTTCTGTAGCAACCAGAAAGGGACAAACACAGTGAGGTCACTCTGCTTCCTGCTCTGACATTTGAGGTCACTTCGAAACATAACCTGCGAACACATGATGTTTAAAAACTTCCAAAGCAAGACCCAATGTTCCTTAGTACATATTGTTCTTTTTTTGCTGTTTTTTTAAAAAAAAGGCTTTTCCCCTTGTTTTTCAAAAGGAAATATATCTCTTTGGAACTACATTTTTATTGCCTTGGAGAACATGATGTTCAATCATGACACAAATCTTTGTGTAAACAGGAAAGTTAATTCAGGACTGGGAGGTTCTGAGACTCAAAAGTGCTGTTGGAGTTTTTAACCGTTAGGGATGACACTCCAACATTGCAACAAGAGCTGTAGAATCTTCCTTCTGATGCCTGTCAGATATATTAACTCCCCTGCACATTAACACCTCCATTGCGGATGCGGAACTCTCTTTACTGCTACCTGCGCTGGAGTCTCCTGATCTTTCTAATGTGATCAAAATGCCTTTGGGATTTATTTATTTATTTGTTTGTTGCTTTATTGATTGCTCTTTTTCACCCCTGGAAGAATGCCCCGCTGCCTTTTTAACTTCATGCAAAATGTATTGTGTGAGTCAGCATAAAGAAAAGGAAGAGGAAACATATTGAATACAATGACAAATGGCAGAGGGGTCAGAGAAAAGGAAGATACTCTGGCAGGGTCTGCAGAGGATGTCTCGTAATTATGTGCCATAAATATATAGGTACCTAAACAGAAATGCAGAGGGAGGTTTTCTGAAGTTTCTTGGAACAGCGTAGGCAAGGCATGGCCATGACTCCATGCAGACAACTCTCCTCTTTCCTTATCCTGAATGTTTGGGCTGCCAAAAAATCACAGCATTTGCAGAAGGAGTGATGTCCTTCTGAGCATTTTTTGAGAGTGCTTCTACTGAATTTCTCCTCCAAAGCTGTTTTAGCTGCATGTTGTCTAAACCCATACCGTCTGCCAAATAAGATCATGAAGTGCAGAGGTAGTGCTGTTATTAACAGTGTGTGCATTTGCATTCTCTTCTATAGGTCAACTGACTGTGTAAGTAACAATGCCCACATATATATATATGATGTATGCCCATCCATGTCATTGCATAGCTCATTCACACTTTATTTAGGCAAGTAGCTTAAAGGGAGGTCCACGTTTTGTGCATGCCTACGCTGTGCTGGCTCCTCTAGCGTGACTCTACTCAGTTTCCCACGTGAGTCTTCTTGCAAACTCCTTGTCCACAGCTGCGTGCAGCAGCAAATGCAAGAGAACACTGGAGAGCCAGCTGGCTGAAAACTGCCTGAAAAATAATGGAAATCAGGTGTCAAAAATGAGAATGTGTTTAGATGTGACTTGGCTTCCCTTGGTTTTCCCTGCAGAGAGCAGTGATTCTATATTAGCTTTGTTTTTTGCTCTCTGTGAAAATCATCCTCCGTTGATGGGTAGATATGGGAAGAACAGAGCTTGGTGTGACTTTCAGTGACTTTATCTTGGCAGACACTGCATGCAAGTGGTACATCTGTCATACAGACAGAGAGACACCAGGGAAAAAAAGAAACCATTAAATAAGATTAAGTTTGGGATCTGGATGAAAAAAGAAAACCAAGCTCATATTTTGTGTCATTATGATGTTAGGCAGTTGTAGGTACCAGGATAGATGGATAGAAACCTATTTATCAACCTGAGCGCTCTGTTCCAGCAACCCAGCCCCATACTGTTCTGCTCTCTGTAGAAACCAGGACCACATGTGGGAGGCAGAATTTCTGGGAATGAAGAAATTGGGATGACATATTACTTTACATTCTGCTTTAGGTTTCCACTTAACTCGGTCATTTTTAATGCTCTTTTTCATTCTAAGGCTTTGGGTTTTGATGATGCAAAAACATTCCTCAAACACATTGACATTTTTTTGCAATAGAGAAGCATGGGTTCAAAACATTGGGTATTAAACTCAGTGCACGTGTGCTTGCAAACCTTATTGCTGCCTCACTGCTATTGTTTTCTCTTTCTCAGGATGTGACCTTCACCACCACAATGAATCAGGAAAAACCTGTCAAATCCTCCTAGCTCCCAGGCTGTGCAGTTTGCTGTTCCTTGCTGTTCACCAGACAGCAGCTTTTCCCACCCAAAGCGCAGAAGAAGCCAGCAAGTTACAAATGACAGCTGACAAGTGAAGTATTATCAAAAGCTGTGTGAGACTCTGTCAAAGAGAAACTTTATATAGTAATTCTCCTGAGCCTGGGAAGTTGTGTATCCCATCAGTTCCAAAAAACAGAGAAGATATGTTCAAGTAACCAATACCAGGAACTGCTCAAATCAATACAAAATTAGAGTATCTACACACAGTGATCTACAGCACTTAGAAATCTCCATTCAGAATGGATGATGGATATAGAAACACAAACCTCTATCAAGGGGGTAGGGATGCAAACCAGGTCTCAGATGACTACAGGTACCAGGATGGTAACTATGAAGGGTATGCACCCAATGATGGCTATTACCGTGGTGGGGATGAACCTGCTCATGAAGAAGATGCCCAGAGTGATGTTACAGAAGGCCATGATGAAGATGATGAGGTCTATGAGGGGGAGTACCAAGGGATCCCACACCCAGATGATGTTAAAGAAAAGCAGAAAAAGCGAGCTCCTGCCATGGCTGATGAGTACAGAGACCGCGCTGACCTCATGGCAGAGAGGATGGAGGATGAGGAGCAACTTGCCCACCAGTATGAGAACATCATTGAGGAGTGTGGCCATGGACGCTTCCAGTGGACTCTTTTCTTTGTTTTAGGGTTGGCACTGATGGCAGATGGGGTGGAGGTGTTTGTGGTTGGATTTGTTCTTCCCAGTGCTGAGAAGGATATGTGCTTATCCAGTTCAAACAAAGGGATGCTAGGTAAGTGCCACATGCAAACAGCTCTTCTATGCAGTTAACAGTAACTTAGAACATCTTCTAGTGAACACCTGATTTCAGGATCTTCTGGTGTCTCTTATGTTGCATTTCATACATAGTCACAGCTGGGTGGATCTGACTCAAGGGGATTTGCATGTTCCTGAGAAGGCAGCTACTCAAAAGCAGCAGAATTGCACCACATCAAAGCTGTGAATGTGCTGTGACCCAGTGCTGAACAAGGCAGCTCACAGCCAGCAGGTCCACAGGGAAAAACTCACAGGGGCATTCAGGGAGAGATCAGTGAAAGGTTAAAGGTGGCTTTTCCTACTTGAGGATCTTGTGACTCAGATTTCAATGTTTGCAGAAAATGCATTTTAAAGAGAAGTCTGCAAAGCAGTACCATCCGAGCATGACAGTTAAAATAGACAGGGGTCTGTTTGCTTTGGATCAAACATTGTGGCTCCTGATGCTGTCCTGCTCTCCAAAGTTTGCCCAGGTTTCCCCTTCTTTCATCCTAAAGTCCCAGCTGACAAATCTGTGCAGTCTGTTCTTCTGCACACTGACTTCTCAGAGCAGTTTGCTAGTAAGTACTGGATCAGAAGTAGTCAGTGGAGGTTTCCTCTTAGGTCTGTGAAAGGCAATTAATGTGCTGAGGCTACTGGCAACACCCCGTTTACATCACTGTTGACATCTCCCTGTGGTGAAAATGCAAAGGCTCAGTTATTGGGAGTGAGACTGAATAGAAAGGTTTGGATGAACAAGTTTTTCCCTTGCACACTGTAAGCCAAAGACAGCAAAGCCTCCCAGATCTCCAAGAATCAGGAAAGTATCCAGTATGGCCCATAGTGAGAGCCAGCTGTGCAACAGTACAGCACATCTGGAAGGAAAACAAAGTAGCTCTTGGAAGAACTTCTTTAGGAAAGGAAGAGTGTGCCTTGATGGACACGTACTGGGGTTGTGGGCCGATCATCAGGGCCTGTAGTTCATACAGTCTGACCCAGGAGCACTGTCTGAAATAAGGTAAATGCAGATTTTGGCTTAGACTCTAGCCCTTGACTCAATTCTATTTGCATTATTTTCATATGACAAAGGCAACAGATAATTATCCATATATAAACCTCTCATCATGGTGTATTGAGGTCCTACACACTTTTCTGTTTCTTCTTTTTTCTTTGAACTGGAGGTTCAGATGTTTTTTCCTATAGCTAGTGAGGTTTGTACTAAGTTCTGTGCCTTAAGAATTTTACTCACTTTTTTTGCTTCAGAAACCCACTTTAAAAACCTAGCTCAAAATATCTCAGGTCAGATATCTAAAAGCAAATAGTTCACAATTGAATCCTGATTTCAAAGGGACTTCCAAATTTGCTGGCTCCCTATGGGACACTGGGCTGGGTGCCTTTTCAGAGATGAGACCTTTGAAAAGCAGGTCATTTATTTTGGTGACTATATGAAAGCTGAGATCTTCTGAAACCCTGACCCCATAAATACCTGTCTCTGCAGAGCTCAAACTCTGGCAGGCACCAGAGTCAGAAAACTTCAAATGTCGCAAGAAAATCTCTCTTTGAAGTATTTCTGGCCCAGCCACAGGTAAAAATGAACAAGAAATCTCCCCAGAGAGCTCATTCTGCTTTTCCCAGCTCAGTATTTGCAAGGCAGAAAGTTCAGGGTGTTCTGATCAGCTCTGCAGGAGCAAGGAGACATTTGGGTCTGTATCCAATCCTAGCTCCAGCCTCCCTCGCATCAACCAGACTAATCTGGAACTGCTAATTCACTGCCTTTCCTGCCCTCTTCTAAAGACAGTTTTTGAGAACCTGGTTTTGCAGAATAATTTCTTCTGTCCTTAGGGTGGTTGTTTGGGGGATCTGCTGTCAAAGCTTGTGTTCACACAATTAAATATGAGGAAAAAGAAGAATTTTCCTAAAAACAAAAGAAGTTGATTCATCTTAGAGGCAGAGAGGAAAGTGTGGTAACATTTAGTTGCTACTGATGGTCATTGTACATAAGGCAGGTCTCTGATTCAGTCCTTTTTATTTGTTAAACATGATTTCTCGTCTGCAAGGTTTCCTCTTGGGTCCGAGGTTTGTGAGATGATCCTTTGTGTAAATGAATTAAGCGTGGCTTAGAAAGCCTTAGATTGCAGAGTGGGGCACTGGCATGAGTAAAGAATACCCAAGGGCATGAAGAAGCAAGGGTGTGAGGAGGCTGGAGCGGGTACGGGCTTCTGAAGGATGTGACAGGGGAGAGTGCAGGTCTCTGGGTCTGAAGAGGAGGAGGAGGAGAGCTTTCTGCCAAGCTAAGGGCAGCAGCAGGGAGTGGAGGGTGTTGGAGGTTTGGCAGGCAGCAACACAGTGCAGGGACATAAAGTCTGGTTACAGACCTGCCTCCAGCACGGCCTGGTGTGCCAAGAACTGCCCCTGCAAGAGGGTTTCATCCCTTTTCTGAGCAGCTGTGGGTATATCGTGTGATAAGGACAGTCAGATATCGGCCTCTGAAGGGAAAGGCTGGGGAAGTGCTATTTATGGAGACAAGAACATAATCTTCCTCAAAACCTTTCCTAGATTAGCTTCGGCACCCATCCATTTGCAAGTAGAAAAAAGGTATCTCCTAACAAAGCTCTGAGCCTCCAACACATGCTCATTTCCCTCTGTGTTTCCTTCCATTCCCTCAACAGTCTATATGGTGTGCTATTGCAAATTTATCTTGCTAATTCTCAGGGTTCAATGAGTGGCTGACTTGGTGGCAATCAGAGCTCTTCACCTCAATTTCTGCCTAATGTACAGTGATGACCTTGCAAATGTGTGTCTGCATATAATGAACAGAGGAATAACCAGAGAAGACACAGATTTCCCTCAAATCATCATGAGGTTTTAGGGAAACAGGGCTGTTGTCCGCACACGATTATTGCCCCTTTCCTTATCCCCATGTACCAATAAATGTCTACAGAGAAACTCATCTTTATTCCCAAGAGACTGCACACCTCAAGGCATTTTTTGCTAAGGAAACATAATGAGGTTATCCCAGGTAGACTTAAGGTTGGTTCCAGGCAGCTGCTGAGATTTAAACACACAGGAAGGTCTCAGCCATAATAAGAGAGGCCAGGAGGGGAAAAAAATGGGAACTAAGTCAGATAAGTAGTTAAACCTTTGCAGGAATAGGAAGGAACAAACAAGAGAGCTAAAGTAGATGCCCCCTAAAGACCAACCTAGTGAAATTCAGCTTCTGCTAAAAGGACACTTTGCATTAAATACTCTGTATATTGCCTATTTTTCCTCCCTCGGAAAGCAAGAACGGAAAAATATCTAGCAAATTATGGCCAAATTATGCAAAAATTACAAATAAACAGATGCCCACAGTGTTTCATGCAATGTGTGAAATGAATATGACACATCTTAGAAAACGTTTACATGTTGTTCTGAAAATAAACATCTCACCATCAGATGCAAATTAACAGCTATTTTAGCCCTAAATATCCTTAGTGGGACAAAACACGTAATTGGGGTTTTTCTGTTACACAAAATTCTATTTTGAAGATGATTACAGGAGCATTACAAAAAAAGAGAAAAATAAACAATAACTGTATAGATTTAAGCACTTTGATTTCATAAATTTTTAACACTATCTGTTAAGAATAAGTTTGGTAACTTTTAACAATGTTATTTTTACATATTCATTGGATAAATCTGCTTCGCTGAACATTCACCAACAGTAGTCACACTACTAATTATAAATGTCTTAAATTTACTGGAACAGAATATTCCTTTTCAGTATAATGCATCCTGCCAGAAGACAGACGTTTTTTTATGAACTAAGGGTAATCATATGAAAAGTCATATAGTCTGTAATTACTTACTTGCTGAAAGGCACACAGTATCATTATTTGGAGAAATAGCATATAAATGTATATCTTCAAGTGCTTTTAATCACCTCTCAGAGGACTAACCATTCTATGCCTAAATACTATGTTTGCAAGCATAGAGCAGTGAGTACACAGCAAGTATAAAAGGTGGTGCCACAGTGATGTTTTAAACTTTTTCACACCCTGCATATAAAGAACTCAAGGCACAGATAAAGCATCGGCCTTTCCCAGATCCCCAGTTGTGTTATCATCATTTCACAGTTCAGTAAACTGAGACAAGAACATTTCTTTGCCCATAACTGCAAAAAGAGCCACACCAATGCCGGGAATAAAATGGAGTCAGGCACACAGCTCCCTTTTCCTTTTTATGATTTCATAATAATATTTTAAGGAGAATATCATCTTACAGATTCTTAACCTCACAATGTTAGATAAAAACACAGAGAAAAAGATCCTATTAGTAATTATGCAGTTATGTAGCAATCCAAGCTTGGCTCTGTGAGTCAGGTTAAATAGGATGTGTAACTATATCCCTGCTTTTAGTAGTGTGAGAGGAGGTTTTATTATCAGCTGAGATAAATTCTGGCCTCAGCTTCTCATTGACCTGAATTCACCTGATATGACAGTAAATCCTAATCCCTTTTGCAGAGCTCAGTGGATTTTCTCCAGTTCTTGGTTCTTTTCTTCCAGGATATGCACAGACGAGCCTGGCCATGGCTCCCGTGCTCTGCCATGGCTTGTGCTACATCTTCACAGCCATAGATCCCCACCGCAGCAACCAGCTGAACCCTGATGAGAGCTGCCTGTGTCTGCGTCCCAAGCACTGGGCATGAATTCCTGGTGCAAATTTACTCTTGGGCAGAAATGCTCCCAGCGAGTGTCATCACCCTGAGTGGTAGAGACATGTTAGGGAAAAAAAGGTGGTTTTGTGATTTGGAATCATCCCACACCTTACGCAGGTCTTACATGGGGCTGGCTGCATCTCCATTTATAAACACTGCCGGAATTTCATCTGACGGGAGCCAGCACAAACAGGTTTTCACTTAACAGCAAAGGGTTTGTTTGGCTTCCTCTGTTGGAAACTTTGCTTTAGCAGAGGGGTTGGGTGGGGGGAACCAGATGGTCCCATGAATACTGTAGTGATGGA